GGGGGCGGGCGGCCATCTGGAGGGCGGGCGCAAGCGTCGCATCCTCCTCGAGGGGGCGGGACGGGGTGGCCAGGCCGCTCGGCCCTCCTGCCCGCCGAGAGGTGAGAGTCGGTGGAGGAGGGCGGGTGCTGGCGGGGAGAAAGCCGTTACTGTGAACCCCTCTCCCGGATCTCCAGAGCGAGGGGCGTTTGGCTGCCCCAGGCCTTCCACAGGGCCTGCAGGCCAACTCTGGGGGGAGTGTGTTCCCCGGGGCAGGAGGTTTCCTCCTCTTTTCAGTCATACATTGTGGAATTTTTTTAAAAAATCTGCCTTGTTGGCTTCTGAATCCTCAAGGTCCTTACATGTCAAGCATGCCCGTAAGCTGCCCTCTACAAGATTTAAGCATCACAATAAAAAATCCTTTTTAATATGAAGGGTGCCAGCAGGAGTCAAGTGTTTCATTGTTTGCTTCTATTAGAACAGTACTAACCTATTGACATAAATACAGCAGAATAATGAGTTTTTCTTGGTGCATGCTGCATTTAGCATATGAGCGCAGGTTTAAAGTCGGTCAATCTTCATAAACATACTATATATCAACCTCAAATTCAAGTTGTACGTTTTCTCCAAATTGCCAACTCCTGTTGCAGTAAATGTACTGAGCGCTTCTGCAGGTCCCTGAGAGGGAGAACGTTTACTCCTCACCCAGAGGCCAATTCCCTGTTTGCCAGGCTGGCCATGGTGCTACAGTCACCCCGCAGGCGACTGCCAGGCGTCCCACCTCCTGTCCCACGGACGGCTGGTGAGATGCATCACAGCAGGGCTGGAGACACCGCCACGGATGACAGCAGAGCCTGTCCTCACCCTGCAGGTACTGAGAGATGAGTGATCACCGCGCGCTGAGACTCACACAGCCACAGAACTCTCTTTCCAATTGTCCCTTTTGTTTTGCAGAGACGGCCTGTCCTCCTGCTTGTGGCCCTTCTTGGCCACTCACTGCATGCTGAAGTATGAGTGGCCAAGTAACCCAAATCTGTTTAGAAACTGGTGTGTCAGGGGATGAAATGACACTGGTGCCTCTGGATGGCCAGAAATGTGCATATCTTCCTCAGCAGTTACTACACATGTCCATGACTGCTGATTTCCTAGCTTAGCTCTATCGCTTCCACCTCCTGTCTGGTAGAGGCTTATTTAGCTAGCTCTGCCATTTTTTTAAATGAGCAACAATGCTGAATATAGCCTGCACGCACAAATGCACAGTCACAGAAAAGCTCGTGACCCCCTCATGACTGGTCATAATAGCACTACTAAACCTGGGCTAACCCTTTGCTTGTCCTCTTGCACTCCGTCCCCTCAGCCTCTTGTTCTTCTGGAAAAGGTACACAGGTCATGCCTGTGAATTTCCCAAATTCAAACTATCTCTTTTTAAATGTCTTACCAAAGTTCATCATTCTACACAGCTGTTTGTGTAAGACAAATCCTTATAACCATGAGAAACAATGAAGAAAACTCATATTCCCACCCCTTTCTCTTAGTAGTTGTGGATGGATAATTTGGTGAATCATATTGTATACGTAGAGCAGCATTGTTGGGTTATGAAGTTGCAACTTGAAGACAAGTTGATTGTATGCTGATGGCGTTGACAGGGCTGCTGGCAGGGCTTGAGGGTGAGGTGTAGTGCCTCAGGGTATGGATGTTTTCCACACCTATGCGTGTTCTAAATAAAGCAGTGTCTGCATGTTATGGTGACGGTTTGTAATGACACATGCCAAAGGGTCAAAACACAAGAACAATATTTCACAGGCTACAAAAGAGCTCTGGCATTTTTGCAGAATAAAGAGAAGTTACCTAAAAATGTGAAAAATAAAGAAGTAGGTGATTTGTGACCCCCTGTAAAATTTGTCACTGCCATATCCAAGATTAAAAACTGGCTAATTTTAGGCTTATGGTCTCTGTTACACCAAAGGTACCTCTGAGCCATGAACATGCTTGGCTCAGCAGTTACTCCCTGCACACCTGGAGTACTGGGGAGAGGTTCCCCCAGAGGGGCCTGTACATAGTCATTCAGAGCTTAGGACTACCAAGGGGTTGCGGGAGATCATTAGAAAGGATTTCTGTCAGCTTCATCTTAGCAGTAAGGTTTGCCATTAAGCAATCAGGCATAAGCGATCGCCAAAAGTAAAATATATGAACATAGTGGCATAGGCTGCTCCTTTACAGCTTTATTAATGTATGTAATGCTTCAGATAAAGCATTGCTCCCATTCAGATCATTATTACACACTCTTGTCTTTCAGTCATCAGTGCCTCAAACCCAAACTGATGGGAGCAGCCAATGAATTTCTTCATAATGCACAAAGACCCCTCAAGATTTTAAGCTTTTTTGAAGGATGGTTGATTACTGCAGCCACGACTTGTGCTGTATATGGGCTACCTCATGGGGCAGGATGGTCACGTTCTCACTAGGGCAATTTCTGTTGCGGTGTACTGCTGTCTCTGATAGAGTTGAGCTAAGGCTTGTGAAGGGCCCAGTGTAGAGGACTATTTACACCGTAAGTTATTCTCCAGTTATACAATGCTTATTGTCATGAACCGAGAGAACCGTGTTTCATTGGCTCTAATTTTGGGAGTAATATAATCCTTTTAAGAAATCACAGCTCTTAAATGGTATTTGGATGAATTTCAAGAACATTCACATCACTCTTCACTTGTTCTCTGTAGTAAACAAGAGTAAAACATAATGCGGAAAAGTAAGCTATTGAAATGCGAGGATAATGAAAACCGTCAGTACTTAATAAAGATGGTATATGCATTGTCACCAAACATTGCACAAAGTTTCTGAAGAGCCTTAAACTGTAAGTCCCTCCCAAAATGCGTATTCTGCCTGTGGTCAGGTCTGTAGTCTTTTCCAGATATCTGGTTCTACTGACTGGTCAGAGTCTAGGCTGTTTTCCTTGAATGTGGTGAATAACAGGGCATTGGTAGGACTGCCTCCAACAGCAACAAGACAGACATACTCATGCTCACATGCAGCCTGTGTCTCTGTCCCGATCTTGGCTCCTACTGTGAATTTTTCCTTCATGCAAGGGGTGGTGGGATTGTGTGCTGCAGGCTGGATGTTGCAATAATAATAGTGACCTTCAGTGCTTAAATCCTTTGCTTCCAGACCTACCACAGAGAATGAAACAGTCAGCTAACAAGTTAACTGCAAGGTCATAGGTTTAATGAGGTTTTAAATATTGCAGCTCACAGCACAGGAGACTATAATGACCCTAAATTAAACAAGAGGTTTAAAATAAACCTCTAGGATCAATGATTATTACCAGGGCATGGTAATAAACATACATTTCTGTGTTTTCGTCTAACATGTCTCATTCAGGATATTAAGGCAATTTACCAGTAAAGCCCTATCACCCTCTTGTGAGGAAGGTAAGTAATAGGAATGGCTTCCCTGTTTTTGTGAAATCAATTCTGTCTTCTTTAATAACATACGGTAATATTACACAACACTTCAGGTCAAAATGTCTTATTTAATGTCAGAAGAAAATGAAAGAATACGGAAAAGTGCTAGAAATTTATGAATATATCATGGGTAAATATCTAACATTTGCTTCAGAGCACAACAGGAATCTTAATAACCATTTTGCCTTTACTTCTCACAGAAGTGTTTTCAAGGGAGAGGACAGTTTTCTGCCTCTTCTTACCAAAGCACACGACTTTGATAGTTAAATGGTACAACAGGGCAGTTTTTCTGCTTGCAGATTCAGATCCTGGCAAAAAAAGAAATCTTTCCTGAATATTCTGTGGACTGCCAGCAGTTTGGCTTGTACTGAATTACAAGTGGAAGTGGTTAAGCAAAGAAATAATTCCCACCCCCCGCCCCCCCCGGTTTTCCCCAGGCTTGCTTTGAACATCTCCAGGGAAGCCAGGCTTGCAGTCTGAAAAACTGTACTCTGAACTGTTGCGTGCTAAACAGAGCAGCAGGTACAGTTTATTAACACCAACGCAGTTCCCCTCCATCTGTCATTTTTCTTGGTTTGCTCCTCAGATGAGTGAAATTTGTTGTCCCCAGATGCAGTCCATATTTCCATGCTGGAACTTCAATAACAACTCTAACATTGCAAAAAAAGATGGTATGGCTGAGATCAAAATGAGCTATATACACATTCCAGCTCAAGATCAACGCCGACAGAACAGTGTGTAATGTGGGACTACACTATCCTTTTCAGAATATGCAGCAGAGATGCAAGGAAGGAGTATTCCTAATCGTCTTCAATCTGTTGACAGCGAGCTTTTTACAGTGTGAAATTCCACATGAACAGAAAAAGATTAAGTCAATAAGGACAAGAAGATGTAATAAATTCCGCATTTTAGTTGTGTAGCTGAATCATGTGTCTACTGAAATTGTAATATTAGTGATGAGTCTGACTGGTTTTGTATCATCAATAAATCTGGACCCTGTAGCTCTGTGACTCAGAAA